TTTATACTGGATATTGTTATAATTTCATCTTATATTAATTATTTTATCTGTAATATAATTATAAACATACATTTTCTATTTTTTTCTTTTTATCTTTGGTCATTAGTATTATCAGTCGGCACAGTATGAGGGGATCTTACCTTTTAATAAGCCGTCATACTTTTTTGTTGTATAAAATAACATATTTCAATTTAGAAAGACACATATTTGTTGAAACACTATCTCTTGTGTTAAGTTGGTCTAACCATTAATTTGATATACTATTCTCACAAATATGCATATTTCATTATACTTTGAACGAATATTGTAAAAAAAAATATGACATTTGATAATATAAATATATATAATTTTATTTATAAAGTATAACGAGTTGATCCGTCTAACAATTAGATTGTTTCACACAAGTGCAGTTGAAAACGTATGAATGAAATATCGCTGCATAAGTTCATTATAGCAACATTGTTAAAGTAAAATAAGAGCATGCTTGTTTATCAATTATTTCACTCACTTTTAATTCATACTCAAAATCTAATTCAACTTTAACTTAACCCCACTATCTTTAATATTATTCATATAATTAATAAATACAACTCAATCATTTTTACACACCACATCAACTTTAATTCACTATTTATCCACTCACATAATTTTAACTATCTATCATTCCCAATCATTTTCAATCATTTATCTCATACTTTTACATCAAATCAATTTTAATCATTTTATTTTAAATGTTATTTTAATACATTTTTAAAATCCCACTAACAACTAATCATACCACATTTTTCAAAATTAACTCTAACTAATCAAAATAACTCATTTTGGACGAATTATTTTGTAAACAAGCGAGCCCTAAATAATTAGAAGTTACACAATAATGTTTTATATCTCGCTTTATTAAGCTGCTGTAAAGCCTGTAATCGATAGCATGCCCACATCTTTTGTACAATGCCAAGCTTCATATGGATGGGAATCATGGGATGAAATCTAAATATATATAATTGTTGGCAAACTTCATTAAATATTACTCAGTCAGCAATTAATAATAATATGAGTTCATTTAATAAAAATATGTGTTTATTTAATAAAAATATATTTATTATTTAATAATAATATTTAACTTTCAGTTCCACAATTTATTTTGATAAGTCCCATTTTGGATGGTGCACATTTCTGTAACGTCTTTTTATGTCATGAAATATAAAATATTTTTGTTTTATTATGCTACTATATAATTTTTAGTATTATATAAATAAATATTTCACAACTAATTGAGAATGACTACAAATATCTCTATTTTTTATTGGAGTCTACAATAATAAAAAAAATATGAATATTACAAAGATACATCAAATATTTTGAAAAATCAAATCCCAGAGTTACGAGTCGAAAAAGTTTAACGATAATGATTTGTTGTGATGGTGATTCTGACGAAAGGAAACACGAACGTTTTATATAAAGAAGTGTTTAATAATATTTAGATTCACGTTTTTAAATTATTTTTTCTCATTTATTAAGTTATGTTATTTATTTTCTTCTATATTTTTAATTACTTTCTCTTCTATTATATCACTTTTCGTGCAAGTGCACGGAGTAAAGCTAGTTAATTTTATCTTGACGACCCCAATATTCGTAAATTGGGTGAACATAATAAACACGCAACAAATTAATTTAATTTCTTACTTGAAATTAATTTGTTAAACAATATTGTGAAGATGGTGATTTGTTTATCTAGTTGATCTAGAATATGGTCCAAATATTTAAACTTAGGCAATAGCTTAGGGCAAGCTTATATATAAATATATCCGTTCGAAATGAGTTTTTTTAGTTATCCAGAGTTAATTTTGAAAAAATTGGTCCAAATATTTTAACTTAAGTAATTTAATATTTTCTATATAAGAATTTATTAAATATTTTTAAGTGTTATGTAATCTGATGAATTTAAGATACATATTTAAATAAAGGAAAAGATTTGGAGTTTTAACGTTTTGCTTTTTATTTTTGAGAAGGAAAAGGATGTCCTCCCTCATTTTTATTTGTGATTCTTAAAATATTTCTCAAATTTTATTTATATGATTTAGTAATAATTTTATTCACTGCTTTTATCATGGCTAGTACTGTTATGCTTTTTCTATGAACTTAAAAATTTTTAAAAATTGAAAGCAACCAAATGGGAAATATCAAATTAGCCGATTGAGAATTTTCAAATTCGTCGGGTTATTTTTGTTTAGAGTTTGTGTTAATTTTGAATTCCGCTTTTATAGATGGTTGATTCAACTATTTCACAGTAATCAAATTATAATTTTTATTTTATTAATACATCTATCTTTTAAAATAAAATAGGTAGGAGATTGAAATAAATATATAGCTAGCTAGCTATGTGTTCGTATATAGCAGCACCGCGTCAGGATTCCGTACCAATGAAACATTAAGAATAATCAAATATAGACCACCTTGTGGCTTCATTAAACCATCTAGAGGAATCCGGCAGGGAGACCCTCTGTCCCCATACATTTTTATCTTGGTCTCAGAAATCCTTTCTCACATTATTATGAATGAAACCTCAATTGGGAACCTAAAGGGTCTGAAAATTTGCAAAGAAGGTCCTGTCCTCACCCATTTGTTATTTGCCGATGACACCTTGTTGTTCTCCTCTGCAGATGCCTCTCAAGCCCACACAATCCTTAAAATCCTCAACCTATACCATCAAATATCTGGCCAAACTGTTAACCTCCAAAAATCATCTATCTTCTTTAGCAAAAATACCCCCTCTTGCCTCCAAAACCAAATCTGCAGCATCCTTTTGGGAATTCAAAAGAAAACTTCATCCAAATATCTTGGGCTACCTCTTGGGATAGGGCACTCTAAGCTTCAAACTTTTGCATATATTGAAGAAGTAGTGAAAAATAAGATCTCATCCTGGCAAAACAAGTTTCTCTCCTCTGCAGGTAAAGAAGTGTTGCTGAGAGCTGTATTAGAGGCCTTGCCTCTCTATGCTATGTCTTGTTTTCTTCTTCCAAAGAAACTCAGCTTCAATCTGGCCAGGCTCTTCTCATCATTCTGGTGGGGAGACAAACTTGATACAAGCAAAGCTATACACTGGAAATCCTGGGACTTAATGGCACTGCCAAAGGAAAAAGGGGGTCTGGGATTTCGTGACATCCACCTTATGAATAGAGCATTAATCACAAAGCAGCTATGGAGGATTCACAATAATCCTAACCTCCTGGTGAGCAAATTACTGAAAGCCAGATATTTCCCAGAAGGCTCTATCCTCACAGCAAAAAAAAAATCCAATGGTTCATGGCTTTGGACAAGTTGGATGAATGCCCAAAATGACCTCCTATGTGGTATTAGATACCAAATCAAATCAGGAGCTGCAACTCATATTTGGAACCAACCTTGGATTCCAAATTTGAAAGGCTTTAAACCTCACCCAAACAATCCAAACAGACAGGAACTAACTTGGGTGGCTGAACTTGTGGATGACACAGGCTGGCATTGGAATAAGGATCTTGTCCTTAGAAGCTTTCCCCCAGACGAGAGCAAGGCCATCTTAAACATTAGAGATTTAAATCCTAACAGCAATGACACAACTGTATGGGATCCCAGCAAAAATGGCCAGTTTTCAGTTGCTGCTGTCTATGATATGCTAGTGCAAGACAAATGGTCTAAACTGGACATGCCAGAATGTAGCCATCAACAAGCTGCCATCCTAAAAACAAGAAGGCTGACATGGAAACTCAACATTACAGGCAAGGTGAGACACTTCCTTTGGAAATGTTTCTCCAACATCCTACCTGTCTCTGTTAACCTTCTCAAGAAGGGACTCTCCATTGACACAACTTGCAAATCCTGTGGTGAAGCTCCTGAATCTCTTGAACACCTCTTTTTTCACTGTAGCAAAGCTGAAAGAGTGTGGAAGCTGGCCTTAGTTTCGTGGGAAGGACTGGCTAATGACACCTCCTCCTTCAAGAACTGGTGGATGAAAGTATGCACCATCAAGCCTTCACCCTCATCTATGCAAAGAATTCAATATTCTGCATACTTACTCTGGTGGATCTGGAAGGCCCGAAATCTGTGGGTTTTCCAAAATTATTGGCTTTCAGAATACAACATAATGCAATCAGCAACCTCAGCTTGGCATGAATTTTCAACCTCGGGGTCTTTGTAGTTCTAGTTCTAGTTCTTTTTCTCCTTCCTAGTTGCAGTTTAAGTTCAGGTTTATTTCTTTAGTTGGTTTGTTTGCTTAGTGAGGTAACTGATAGGGATTTTTCCAGTTTCAGTTATTTCCTTTTGCTGGTGTAGTAGTGTTTCTCTACCCTCGGAAGTTTAGGTCTAATACTGGATCCGGGCACAGTCTTGCCAGTGTAATGGCCTTTCTTTTGCTTTAGATTAGTGCATAGGTCGCTATTGTTAGCGCTCCTAGTATTCGGCCCTTGTGGCTGCCGTGTACTTGAACAATTTGTTTCCATTTATAATATTCTGCCGTTTTGANNNNAAATATAGACCACATTATTTTTGGTTTAATACTTTAATTCCTAATTTTTGCAAAAAACGAAGAGCTTTAATGAATAGAACAGAACATAATTGTTTGGTGAAAATCTCATTTATTTATGTTTGATTTTCTATGCCTTGAATTTATAGTTCTGGTTGAATAGAAGGTGTAACTTGACGTTACGTGCATAATAATTGACTAAAGTTGTACTTAAAATTTGGATTATTTGTCCCACTTTTAAGATCATAATTATATCTGTTTTTTTTTGTTATGATCTATTAAGAAAAAACAATACCATTTCACAGTAGAGAAAAACTAACATTACTGCATTGAAAAATTAAACTATATTCAGATTCAATCTCACACATTATATACTTGGACAAAAATATTCCTTTTTTATTCTCTTTCTAATTTAAAAACATTTATACTATACAACTCAAAGAATTATCTAAGATGACACATAATTAAAAATTCAAAAATAATAAGACAAATAATTTATGAATAGTTGCTGGAATTAATCTGAACTCCATTTTCGTCTACACAATAATAGTAGTTGCAGCCGTCCTAGGGCACGCATGCAGTTATGTTTGAGCTTTATGAAAAAAATTGAAATTGACTGTTGAGTGCATGTTCTAAAAGGGCATGCGTGACCTTTAATCTTTTGCTCATGCCAATCGCCTTCATCAACCCTACACCAAGCTCAATTCTCACTTTGTTCTAGACTTTTTTTGGAGTTTGATTTACTAATTATTTTCGTCCTTCGTAAGTACACGACGTAACTATACTATGCGACGACTAGCGAGCAAATTCGTAGTCTATAGAGATAATGTTAAATTGATTTCTAAGTTATGTATTCCTCAAATTTGATTCATTTGATGTTTATGTTCATCTGAAATTTACTTAATTTTATCAGTTATAGAGAGACAATCAATAAATTAATTTAATCTTTCTCTCAAACAAGTTAATCGTCGATTGGAATCAGAATTTAAAAGTACATAAATAAATGATTGGAATTTGAATCTTCTATTCTGCTTGTGATTTGGCTTTTGCTCACAATTTATAAAAGCATAATCAAAATAATAGTTAGATAAGCACATTCTTCATTTTTTTTTAATCAAAATGCATATTTATTTTGAAATATGTCATACTTTTATTTACATTTTCTTTTAAAGTATGCCACTTGTATTTGAAAGTATGTATATTCCTTAAAAAAAACCAGTATGTATATTCGTTAAAAAAGTATAACTGGCTGACGGTTAGCTCCGGCTAACAATATATTACAGTTGGGAATTGATTAGACATGCTTTCTTAAATTAGTATAAAAATTGAACTTATGTTTTCAAATTTTACTTATTAAATAAAATGTGGAATAATCATTTTGTATTCCTTTATAATTTTGAAAATATCCCTCAATCTAAATTAATACTAACAACTAATATCCCAACAAAACATTATATATTATGGACAAATAAATTAAAGAACTAATATTATTTAACATTGAATTTGAATCTCTATTTGCTCAAGATCCATACACATCAAATTCTCCAAACATCACATGAACTACATCAAACCAAGGAACAAAAAAAAATGAACTAATTTTTTTAATTCAAGCTACACCAAACCATTACACATTCTATTTTAATTTTCTAATGCCCTCTTAGCTGCTAATTAAGGGAACATGCTAAAATCACCAAGAACATAGACCAAGATTAATGACAGTGGGTAGAGTAAATAGGCCAAAACTGATGTCCAAACAGGATAAACAGTGTTGAAACTTGCAAAGCTCCCAACAATGGCTGAAACTATCAACACAATCAAGACCTCGGCCGAGAATCTCCACGCCAAGTCACGAAAATAGATCAACGACAAAAGAACGGCTAATCCCAGGATGTTGTTCATGAACACAGTCCCATATATCTGCATTTATCATTCATATATACCAAACAAGTTACTACTTGCATCAAAAGAGATTAATTTACAGTTATATATATATATATATATATATACCTCAGACATTGTTAAGGAAGTGATTTGCAGCTTCTTTTGCCGGGACTCTTTGATCGTCGATACTGCTATACGAGCATTCGTTGCCAAAGGTATGAAAATAAACGAGACGTAAAAAGAAGGCACATTTGCTTCTAAAGAAAAATTTCGAACACTTTGTATGAGAGGCTCGGCTAGAACACCGAGCATAACAAGGCCTAGCAATATAAGGGCTATGGCTTTACTCCAAGCTAATGACGATTTATCGACAAATTTGTCCTCTAGCAGCTTATCTGTTTGTTCCCATGTTCTCTGCACAACACAACATTTTATTTTATTTTATTTTCATAGAGTTAACTCAAGTGAAAGATTAAGTCCTTTTTTTTCGAAAAGAGATTTTTTAATTACCTCGTAATTCTCTTCTTCTTCATTTTCCTCCGAGTGTTCTTTGTAGGAAGTTGCGTTTAGCCATTTCGAAAATCCCTTAACGAACTCATCTTCATCGATCAATTTATCTCCACTTATATCGAGTTCTTCCATCAATTTCGATGCAGCCATGTCCGAATCGTAGGGGATTATGCCTAACGTGATGTTATTTATAAGTTCTTTCAACTCGGAATTGGATATGTACTCATTTTTGTCGAGATCAATGTCTTTGAACAATCTGCATTGGCGAAAAAAAAAAAAAAACATTATAGAGATTCTATTTTCGAACGAGAACGAATGTAAAGAGACTAATTTGTGAAAAATAAACTAATGTACCTTTTTATAGCAGGAACATTTGGAGTGCCATCCTCTGCCAAGAGGCTCCCATAAACCGAGTTCTGAATGTGTTCTAAAATGTCCGGAATCAAATGCTTCATCATCTCGCGTTCTTCTCTCTTCTTTTGTACCCACGGCTTAAGAATCTGTACCGAGAAAATATTTTTGATATGTATACGAAAGGAAAGAAAAAACTCAAAGGGGGCTTACTAGCAAATATGAAAATGTTACCTGGTACAAGCCTTTGAGTGATTTAACTGAGTGATACTTTTTATTAATGGTATTCTTAGTATCATCAAGCCATTTGCTCATCCCACTCACAAATTCATCCATGGTTATTTTATCATCGTTATCGATATCGAATTCTTTCATAATCTCTGCAGTCGTATTATCGTTGTTGTTAGATTGAAGTGTTTGACTTTTGATTTCTTGTAAGAAATCTTTAAGCTCGGAGAACGATATAGTGTTATCTCCATCTCGATCTTTCTCTTCAAATAGCCTTGCATAAAAAAGAAAAAAGTTAGTCTAATTATTATACATGTAACAAGAGAATCGAAAAAATTACGTAAGTATTAATATTTTACCGTTTTATAGTCGATACATTTGGCGACCCGTTTTTGGTCAGTAGTTTACCGGTAGTCTGACTCTGAATATGGTTAAGCACATCAACGACCAAATGCTCGTGTTTTATGTACATTAAACGACGCTTTTGAATCGAAGGCTCGAAGCACTGTCAATTGTGTGAAAAAAGATGACACACACACAAA